AGATGTTAGGAAGTTTTCTTTTAGCGTGAGAGTAGTGGGAAAATGGAATGCACTTCAGGAACAGGTTGTGGAAGTAAGTTATGTTCATAATTTTAAAACTAGATATGCTAGGGAAATGGGACAGGAGTCATTGCTGTAAACAACCGATGGCTGGAAAGGCGGGATCCAAGAGTCAATGCTCTATCCTGCAAGCACATATAGGTGAGCACACACACACACACACACACACACACACACACACACACACACACACACACACACACACACACACACACACACACACACACACACACACACACACACACACACACACAAACACACACCCACACACGTGTGAAAGACAAATCCTGCCCCTCTATACATCTTGAGGAAAAGATTCGTGTTTGACCTAACGCCACACACACAGCACACCATGCCACATTCGTTCCTCAAGGTGATTGTGAAGTGTGAGGTAATTACGAACAGACAGCTCTGTAATGGCGGATGATTCAGCATATCATCCCAGCATATATAATCACCTTGTGTGTGGCTTCACTGCTCGCTATATAACCCTCAATATTATATATGTGCTGGAACACATATAACTCTCTCTTTATATAGGACGAACGCAGACGCATTGTACTCTGCTTAACTGACTGGCCTCGTCTGTGGTAGGGGAAAACAAATAATGATTTCTCTCTCTCCCTTTCCTTCTCCCTTAATTTGCCTATCTCCCACCCTCCCTCTTCCTTCCCTCCCTTCTCTCCCTCTCCCATTTTGATGAATATTGTTGTTCTGTGAGGGTCTGTCAGTCAGCTGGTAGGCCCAACTGGTCACTTCCTTTGAAGGAAGTGATGACTGCGGCTGGGAGGGGCAGGGACGGAAGGGGAGAATGGACGGAAGGGGGAAAGAGAGAGGGGCGTGGACCGGATGGTAGGGAGCGAGGGGTAACTTAGCAAGGAGGGCTAGTGTGAAGGGGCGCGATGAACAAGGAAGACAGCTGGACTTTGTGAACTTGTTTATGTTCGCAGAGATAGACAGATAGCGATAAAGCTTCAACGTAAACACCTAATTAACTCAAACAAACAAACACACGCGCACGCACGCACATACATGCCGACCGAGAATGACAGCACGCTGGACATGTGATTCTGCAGTCCCGGGTTCGAGCCCGGGCGGGCGCCGGTGAGAAACGATTGGCTAGAGTTTTTTTTTCACCCTATGCCCCCTTGTTACCTAGCAGTAAATAGGTACCTGGGAGTTAGTCAGCTGTCACGGGCTGCTTCCTGGTGTGTGTGTGTGTGTGTGTGTGTGTGTGTGTGTGTGTGTGTGTGTGTGTGTGTGTGTGTGTGTGTGTGTGTGTGTGTGTGTGTGTGTGAAAAAATAGTAGTAGTAGAAAAAGTTGATTGACAGTTGAGAGGCGGGCCGAAAGAGCAGCGCTCAACCCCCGCAAGCACACCTAGGTGAGTACATAGTATGCATTTCCGCAACCTCTTACGAAACCGTTACATCTTCAACAATTATAAGCTGTTGTTTACATTTCATAAACAGTAACAACTTGGGGGTTTCGAAGCGTCGAAGCAAGATTGTCAGCTGTTTAATAAATGTAAACAGATCTGTTATGCTGGTGAGAGATGTAAAGGTTTCGTAAAAGCTTGACGAATCCTAACTACAAGAGAGGGGATTATGAGGAAATAAGAGACTTCCAAAGGTCAAGTTAACTAGGATAGAATTCGAGGATAAATTACACAGGAATTGATGGATTTGGTTAGAGATAGAGACACAGACAGAACAAAGAGACACAGACACAACAAAGAGACAAAGACAGAACAAGAGACACAGAACAAGAGACACAGAACAAAGAGACACAGACACAACAACAGACACAGACAAAACAAAGAGACACAGACACAACAAGAGACACAGACACAGACAAAGAGACACAGACACAACAAAGAGACACAGACACAACAAGAGACACAGACACAGACAAAGAGACACAGACACAACAAAGAGACACAGACACAACAAAGAGACACAGACACAACAAAGAGACACAGACACAACAAAGAGACACAGACACAACAAAGAGACACAGACACAACCAAGAGACACAGACACAACAAAGAGACACAGACACAACAAAGAGACACAGACACAAACAAGAGACACAGACACAAACAAAGAGACACAGACACAAAAAAGAGACACAGACACAACTAGAGACACAGACACAGATAAAGAGACACAGACACAACAAAGACACACAGACACAACAAAGAGACACAAACACAACAAAGAGACACAGACACAACAAAGACACACAGACACACAGACACAACAGACACAAACAAAACAAAGAGACACAGACACAACCAAGAGACACAGACACAACAAAGACACACAGACACAACAAAGAGACACAGACACAAACAAAGAGACACAGACACAACAAAGACACACAGACACACAGACACAACCGACACAAACAAAACAAAGAGACACAGACACAACAACAGACACAGACAAAACAAAGAGACACAGACACAACAAGAGACACAGACACAGACAAAGAGACACAGACACAACAAAGAGACACAGAGACACAGACACAGACAAAGAGACACAGACACAACAAAGAGACACAGACACAACAAAGAGACACAAACAAAACAAAGAGACACAGACACAACAAAGAGACACAGACACAACAAAGAGACATAGACACAAACAAAGAGACACAGACACAACAAAGACACACAGACACAACAGACACAAACAAAACAAAGAGACACAGACACAACAAAGAGACACAGACACAACCAAGAGACACAGACACAACAAAGAGACACAGACACAACAAAGAGACGCAGACACAACAAAGAGACACAGACGCAACAAAGAGACACAGACACAACAAAGAGACACAGACACAACAAAGAGACACAGACACAACAAAGAGACGCAGACACAACAAAGAGACACAGACGCAACAAAGAGACACAGACACAACAAAGAGACACAGACACAACAAAGAGACACAGACACAACAAAGAGACACAGACACAACAAAGAGACACAGACACAACAAAGAGACGCAGACACAACAAAGAGACACAGACACAACAAAGAGACACAGACGCAACAAAGAGACACAGACACACAAAGAGACACAGACACAACAAGAGACACAGACACAACAAAGAGACACAGACACAACAAAGAGACACAGACACAACAAAGAGACACACAGACACAGACAACAAAGAGACACAGACACAACAAAGAGACACAGACACAACAAAAGAGACACAGACACACAACAAAACAATGAGACACAGACACAACAGACATAGACACAACAAAAGACACAGACACAACAGACACAGACACAACCAAGAGACACAGACACAACAAAGAGACACAGACACAACAAAGACACAGACACAACAGACACAAACAAAACAATGAGACACAGACACAAAGAGACATAGACACAACAAAGAGACACAGACACAACAAGAGACACAGACACAAACAAAGAGACACAGACAGAACAAAGAAACTCAGACACAACAAAGACACACAGACACAACAAGAGACACAGACAAAACAAAGAGACACAGACACAACAAAGAGACACAGACACAACAAAGAGACACATACACAAAGAGACACAGACACAAACAAAGAGACACAGACACAGACACAACAAAGAGACACAGACACAACAAAGAGACACATACACAAACAAAGAGACACAGACACAAACAAAGAGACACAGACACAAACAAAGAGACACAGACACAAACAAAGAGACACAGACAGAACAAAGAAACACAGACACAACAAAGACACACAGACACAACAAGAGACACAGACAAAACAAAGAGACACAGACACAACAAAGAGACACAGACTCAACAAAGAGACACAGACACAAAGAGACACAGACACAAACAAAGAGACACAGACACAAACAAAGAGACACAGACACAACAAAGAGACACAGACAGAACAAAGAGACACAGACACAACAAAGAGACACAGACACAACAAGAGACACAGACACAACAAAGAGACACAGACAGAACAAAGAAACACAGACACAACAAAGAGACACAGACTCAACAAAGAGACACAGACACAAACAAAGAGACACAGACACAAACAAAGACACACAGACACAACAAGAGACACAGACACATCAAAGAGACACAGACACAACAAAGAGACACAGACAACACACACAGACAACACACACAGACACAAACACACACACACTAGACAGACAGACGTTGTCTCATCCATTTCTGACTCTGTGTCCCCACTCTATTTTCCTTTTAGGGTTATTTTTTTCCCTAGAGGCCCGAATGTTGTCTTTCCTCCCCCCCTCCCCCCCTCTGGCGGGGATTTGTGCGTCTTAGTGCAAAAGTGGTCCTCGTTCGAGACCCCTCAAGGGGTGGGTTCTGTGAGGCTTCCTCCCGGGGGCCCGTAGAAGCTCCCTTTGTATATACGCAGGCTTCCTGTCCCCGACACAGGGGATTGAGCTCTGGCTCTTTGGCCCCGCCTTTCTACCGTCAATCAACTGATATTTTTTTTTCCTCCACACACTAACACACATCCACCAGGAAGCAGCCCGTATAGCAGCTGTCTAACTCCCAGGTACCTATTTTACTGCTAGGTAAACAGGGATATCAGGGTGAATATAAACTCTGCCCATTGTTTCTCGCCGGCACCCGGGATCGAACCCGGGACCACCGGATCCAGTGTTCTGTCCGCTCAGCCACCGGCTCTCTTAGGTTGGTTCAAGTTAGATTAGGCTAGATGAGGTTGGATTAGGATAGGGTGAGTTAGCTAAGCTTGTGTTAGCTTAAGTAGGTTTAGATTAGACTAAAGTTAGGATAGGTTGGTTTAGCTTGAAGGGAGAACCGTAGCGCAGTGGTCAGCGCAATCGACTCGCAACCCATCGTCCCCGGGTTCGATTTCCCAGCAGGTCGAGACGTTTGGGCACTTTTCGATCAAGTTGACCCCTCTCTGTTTACATAGGAGTCAATGCTGTTTACATAGGAGTCAATGCTGTTTACATAGGAGTCAGTGCTGTTTACATAGGAGTCAGTGCTGTTTACATAGGAGTCAATGCTGTTTACATAGGAGTCAGTGCTGTTTACATAGGAGTCAGTGCTGTTTACATAGGAGTCAGTGCTGTTTACATAGGAGTCAATGCTGTTTACATAGGAGTCAATGCTGTTTACATAGGAGTCAACGCTGTTTACATAGGAGTCAACGCTGTTTACATAGGAGTCAATGCTGTTTACATAGGAGTCAACGCTGTTTACATAGGAGTCAGTGCTGTTTACATAGGAGTCAATGCTGTTTACATAGGAGTCAGTGCTGTTTACATAGGAGTCAATGCTGTTTACATAGGAGTCAGTGCTGTTTACATAGGAGTCAGTGCTGTTTACATAGGAGTCAATGCTGTTTACATAGGAGTCAGTGCTGTTTACATAGGAGTCAATGCTGTTTACATAGGAGTCAGTGCTGTTTACATAGGAGTCAATGCTGTTTACATAGGAGTCAATGCTGTTTACATAGGAGTCAATGCTGTTTACATAGGAGTCAATGCTGTTTACATAGGAGTCAATGCTGTTTACATAGGAGTCAATGCTGTTTACATAGGAGTCAACGCTGTTTACATAGGAGTCAACGCTGTTTACATAGGAGTCAATGCTGTTTACATAGGAGTCAACGCTGTTTACATAGGAGTCAGTGCTGTTTACATAGGAGTCAGTGCTGTTTACATAGGAGTCAATGCTGTTTACATAGGAGTCAATGCTGTTTACATAGGAGTCAGTGCTGTTTACATAGGAGTCAGTGCTGTTTACATAGGAGTCAGTGCTGTTTACATAGGAGTCAATGCTGTTTACATAGGAGTCAGTGCTGTTTACATAGGAGTCAGTGCTGTTTACATAGGAGTCAGTGCTGTTTACATAGGAGTCAGTGCTGTTTACATAGGAGTCAGTGCTGTTTACATAGGAGTCAATGCTGTTTACATAGGAGTCAATGCTGTTTACATAGGAGTCAATGCTGTTTACATAGGAGTCAGTGCTGTTTACATAGGAGTCAATGCTGTTTACATAGGAGTCAGTGCTGTTTACATAGGAGTCAATGCTGTTTACATAGGAGTCAGTGCTGTTTACATAGGAGTCAGTGCTGTTTACATAGGAGTCAATGCTGTTTACATAGGAGTCAATGCTGTTTTCATAGGAGTCAATGCTGTTTACATAGGAGTCAATGCTGTTTACATAGGAGTCAATGCTGTTTACATAGGAGTCAATGCTGTTTACATAGGAGTCAATGCTGTTTACATAGGAGTCAATGCTGTTTACATAGGAGTCAATGCTGTTTACATAGGAGTCAACGCTGTTTACATAGGAGTCAGTGCTGTTTACATAGGAGTCAACGCTGTTTACATAGGAGTCAGTGCTGTTTACATAGGAGTCAATGCTGTTTACATAGGAGTCAATGCTGTTTACATAGGAGTCAATGCTGTTTACATAGGAGTCAGAGCTGTTTACATAGGAGTCAATGCTGTTTACATAGGAGTCAATGCTGTTTACATAGGAGTCAGTGCTGTTTACATAGGAGTCAATGCTGTTTACATAGGAGTCAGTGCTGTTTACATAGGAGTCAATGCTGTTTACATAGGAGTCAATGCTGTTTACATAGGAGTCAGAGCTGTTTACATAGGAGTCAATGCTGTTTACATAGGAGTCAGAGCTGTTTAGATCTTGACTAATATATCAGTAACATAAACAAACAAAAGGGGAATATAGGAGAAATATTCACTGCTTGCGATTATTATCCATTTAATTATACAGTGTTATTTTGTGAATATATTCACGCAAAACAATTCACATAAATTCACCAATTTATTCATTCGTGAATAACGTTTTTGAATTTGAAATTTGAATTATGGTCAACTGTCAATCTGTTCGCCTCTGCGTTGTTTCCCCTCATTCCTGGCTGCTTTCCCCTCTCTCTCTCTCTCTCTCTCTCTCTCTCTCTCTCTCTCTCTCTCTCTCTCTCTCTCTCTCTCTCTCTCTCTCTCTCTCTCTCTCTCTCTCTCTCTCTCTCTCTGTTATTGTCCTCCTGATAACCATATACCGAGGGAACCATCTCCATGGCAACCATACTCAAAGGCTGTCCCCCATTCACTGTTGTTCATCTCTTCAACCGTCATTGACAACCGGTTTTGAAGGGGGGGGGAGGGGTTGGCACTATCACCCCCTCCCCTCCCCCCCTTGTTAGCCTATCACGGCCCATGCATAGACAACGTCAATGTTAAGTAATATTAAGTGGAGTTGTGTCTGGCCTACATCCAGATACTTACCACCCGCTTGTAAACCAAGCCATCTGCTTGTAAACCAAGCCACCTGCTTGTAAACCATGCCACCTGCTTGTAAACCAAGCCACCCGCTTGTAAACCAAGCCACCCGCTTGTAAACCATGCCACCTGCTTGTAAACCAAGCCACCCGCTTGTAAACCAAGCCACATGCTTGTAAACAAAGCCACCCGCCTGTAAACCAAGCCACCTGCTTGTAAACAAAACCACATGCTTGTAAACAAAGCCACATGCTTGATGGGGTTCTGGGAGTTCTTCTACTCCCCAAGCCCGGCCCGAGGCCAGGCTTGACTTGTGAGAGTTTGGTCCACCAGGCTGTTGCTTGGAGCGGCCCGCACGCAGGCCCACATACCCACCACAGCCCGGTTGATCCAACTCTATCAATCCCTCTCTATCAAACATTGCGGAGTTGAACTACAAGGTGACAAATTTGGTGTGTTTACAACTTGAGGTGTTGTGATTGAATTGTGACTGATTGAGTTATAAGTTCCATATGAGTGAAGATCTATTGTTAAATATATATTTAATTAATTTGTTGTTTTAAATTTAGTTTAATTGTTGTTGTTGTTTAAGATTCCAGCTACCTGGAACAAAAAGTTCCAAGTAGCACGGGCTATGGTGAGCCCGTGTTAGTTTAATTTTTGTTCCCTAGATCTTTGTCAGTTGAGGTGAGAGTAGAGAGTCCTGTGAGTTTAGTGGTGTTAAGATTTTAATGCATGAGAGTATTTGCTTACAGTTGATACAAAAAAAAATGATGAACACCTTTGATAATATTGTGGTACAGACAAGTTCCGTTCCTTGTCTTGTATATGACTTACCAGAATGGATGGTGAAAGTAGAATGAATGAAAGTAGATGCTTTCATCTACTTCCATCCTTCAATCTTTCTATCTTTCTGCTATTCTAGCACTTTGACTTTCTTTTCTTCTAATCTCCTCTTTGATCTCAGTCTCCCCTCTCATTCTAAACTTTCCCCTTTTCCCCCTGATCACCCCCTTCCCTCCCACACCCTACCCTCACCCTTCCCTCACCCCTCCCTCTCTACCCTCCCCTCACCCCCCTCTCACACCTTATTTTATATTTCCTTTCCGTTATCGGGTTTCCAATTAAGCTCGGTAAACTATTTAATGAGTATACAGACTATAAGCCGCCATGATGGCGGGGAAAGATGTATAGGTTTCGTACTGGGGGGGGGGAGATTGTTTTCTTTTGTTTGTCTTTATTCATTTTCCGCCTCCTTATTATCCACGACCTCGTTAAGGACTACCTACCCTCTACCCCATCTCCCCCCTACCCCCCCTTCTTCTCTCCCTCTACCCCCACCCCCCTCTCCATTAATTCCACCTCCCCCCCCCCCTTCCCTATCTGGCAGGGACGCTTTAGTGAATCTTCACATTTGTAGTTTATCGCCCAACCTAAAAAAAAATTATTGTAGGAGGATTTGTGTGTGTGTGTGTGTGTGTGTGTGTGTGTGTGTGTGTGTGTGTGTGTGTGTGTGTGTGTGTGTGTGTTGTGTGTGTGTGTGTGTGTGTGTGTGTGTGTGTGTGTGTGTGTGTGTGTGTGTGTGTGTGTGTGTGTGTGTGTGTGTGTGTGTGTGTGTGTGTGTGTGTGTGTGTGTGAGATCGTATCCTTTCTTGGAAACACTCTGTAATGAATTATGTGATCTCGTCTAAACCTCTTCTCCGCCCCCGTCCCTCTTCCACCTTTCTTCTCGTCGTTCTCCTCCTCTTCCTCCTCTCTCTCCTGCTCCACCTCTTCCACCTCTCCCTCCCTCCTCGTACGGCAGAAATACGGCAAAGTGCGATAGAATTACTCACGTCCAATCCTGAGCCAGACGGTCCAATAGTGTTGCTTTTCGTTTGGTCTTCATCTCTCTCTCTCTCTCTCTCTCTCTCTCTCTCTCTCTCTCTCTCTCTCTCTCTCTCTCTCTCTCTCTCTCTCTCTCTCTCTCTCTCTCTCTCTCTCTCTCTCTAATTCCCTTTCCTCTAATAGCTTGTTTCCCCTCACTCATCAACAAGAGTGGGTTTCTTTCCCGTCAGGCAAAATGCAGCCCTCCTACCAGGGTAAAGTAGCAGCTATAGTCCCCCTTATTCAAGAGGGGACTTTGAGAGAGAGAGAGAGAGAGAGAGAGAGAGAGAGAGAGAGAGAGAGAGAGAGAGAGAGAGAGAGAATTCAATTTCTTTCATTATTACCTATCCCGTGGGTGGTGGTGTAAAGGATCACAGAGGCACATAATCGGTTCAGGAACTGAGCCCTCTAGTTCGTTTAGCTAAGCAAATAACAATCTTTTGACGCTAGTTACAAAATATTAATGTTATATACACATGTACACATTCTCATACGTACATGTACATATATTATATATATATATATATATATATATATATATATATATATATATATAATATATATATATATATATATATATATATATATATTTTATTAAATATGACCGAAAAAGTAAGATTAATAATTCTAACACGAATTTTCTCAATCTTTCGTACATTATGCTTCACTGTTGGAGGTAAATCAAAAATCACTTCTCCAAAATTCATTTTTATTTCTAGTCTGACGCGACACGGGCGCGTTTCGTAAAACTTATTACATTTTCAAAGACTTCACAAATACACAACTGATTAGAACTTGCGTTTCCCTGATTTTATATCTACATTTGAGTGAGGTGGAAAGGGTGATGTGGCATTACATTTGAGTAAGGTGGGAAGGATGATGTGGCATTAGAGGATATTAATAGGGTATTAAAAGTATCAACACAAGACAGAACACGAAACAATGGATATTGAATAGAAGTGTTTGTAGAAAGCCTATTGGTCCATATTTCTTGATGCTTCTATATTGGAGCGGAGTCTTGAGGTGGGTAGAATATAGTTGTGCAATAATTGGCTGTTGATTGCTGGTGTTGACTTCTTGATGTGTAGTGCCTCGCAAACGTCGAGCCGCCTGCTATCGCTGTATCTATCGATGATTTCTGTGTTGTTTACTAGGATTTCTCTGGCGATGGTTTGGTTATGGGAAGAGATTATATGTTCCTTAATGGAGCCCTGTTGTTTATGCATCGTTAAACGCCTAGAAAGAGATGTTGTTGTCTTGCCTATATACTGGGTTTTTTGGAGCTTACAGTCCCCAAGTGGGCATTTGAAGGCATAGACGACGTTAGTCTCTTTTAAAGCGTTCTGTTTCGTGTCTGGAGAGTTTCTCATGAGTAGGCTGGCCGTTTTTTTCTGGTTTTATAGTAAATCGTCAGTTGTATCCTCTGATTTTTGTCTGTAGGGATAACGTTTCTATTAACAATATCTTTCAGGACCCTTTCCTCTGTTTTATGAGCTGTGGAAAAGAAGTTCCTGTAAAATAGTCTAATAGGGGGTATAGGTGTTGTGTTAGTTGTCTCTTCGGAGGTTGCATGGCTTTTCACTTTCCTTCTTATGATGTCTTCGATGAAACCATTGGAGAAGCCGTTATTGACTAGAACCTGCCTTACCCTACAGAGTTCTTCGAAGAACTCTGTAGGGTAAGGCAGGTTCTAGTCAATAACGGCTTCTCCAATGGTTTCATCGAAGACATCATAAGAAGGAAAGTGAAAAGCCATGCAACCTCCGAAGAGACAACTAACACAACACCTATACCCCCTATTAGACTATTTTACAGGAACTTCTTTTCCACAGCTCATAAAACAGAGGAAAGGGTCCTGAAAGATATTGTTAATAGAAACGTTATCCCTACAGACAAAAATCAGAGGATACAACTGACGATTTACTATAAAACCAGAAAAACGGCCAGCCTACTCATGAGAAACTCTCCAGACACGAAACAGAACGCTTTAAAAGAGACTAACGTCGTCTATGCCTTCAAATGCCCACTTGGGGACTGTACGCTCCAAAAAACCCAGTATATAGGCAAGACAACACATCTCTTTCTAGGCGTTTAACGATGCATAAACAACAGGGCTCCATTAAGGAACATATAATCTCTTCCCATAACCAAACCATCGCCAGAGAAATCCTAGTAAACAACACAGAAATCATCGATAGATACAGCGATAGCAGGCGGCTCGACGTTTGCGAGGCACTACACATCAAGAAGTCAACACCAGCAATCAACAGCCAATTATTGCACAACTATATTCTACCCACCTCAAGACTCCGCTCCAATATAGAAGCATCAAGAAATATGGACCAATAGGCTTTCTACAAACACTTCTATTCAATATCCATTGTTTCGTGTTCTGTCTTGTGTTGATACTTTTAATACCCTATTAATATCCTCTAATGCCACATCATCCTTCCCACCTTACTCAAATGTAATGCCACATCACCCTTCCCACCTCACTCAAATGTAGATATAAAATCAGGGAAACGCAAGTTCTAATCAGTTGTGTATTTGTGAAGTCTTTGAAAATGTAATAAGTTTTACGAAACGCGCCCGTGTCGCGTCAGACTAGAAATAAAAATGAATTTTGGAGAAGTGATTTTTGATTTACCTCCAACAGTGAAGCATAATGTACGAAAGATTGAGAAAATTCGTGTTAGAATTATTAATCTTACTTTTTCGGTCATATTTAATAAAATATGTCTACAGGAAAGACTGCTACCAAAATATACTAATATATATATATATATATATACGTATACATATGTTACTAAATATGACCGAAAAAGTAAGATTAATAATTCTAACACGAATTTTCTCAATATTTCTTATGTTTCTTTTCACTGTCGATGGTAATTGAAAAATCAATTCTCCAAAATTAATTTTTATTTCTACTCTGACGTGACACTTGAGCGCGTTTCGTAATACCTTATTACATTTTCAAAGACTTTAGTTTACACACACACAACTATAACCTGCAAACACTTGCAGTTGTGTGTGTTTAAACTAAAGTCTTTGAAAATGTAATAAGTTATTACGAAACGCGTTCAAGTTTCGCGTCAGACTAGAAATAAAAATGAATTTTGGAGAATTGATTTTTCAATTACCATCGACAGTGAAAAGAAACATAAGAAATATTGAGAAAATTCGTGTTAGAATTATTAATCTTACTTTTTCGGTCATATTTAATAACATATGTATACGAGAAAGACTGCTACCAAAATATACTAATATACGTATAAATATGTACATACACATACATATTTAATCACCCACACAAATGCACACATCAATAATCTTTTGTGTCACAAGTGATCAACAAGAGGGTCACAACAGTCACTATACGAGACACTTTACATCTATGGTGAGTCACACAGTTACTAGTCTTGCTCCACACCCACCCAACTGGGCGGCAGCTTTACAGTCATGTGCTCCACACCCACCCAACTGGGCGGCAGCTTTACAGTCATGTGCTCCACACCCACCCAACTGGGCGGCAGCTTTACAGTCATGTGCTCCACACCCACCCAACTGGGCGGCAGCTTTACAGTCATGTGCTCCACACCCACCCAACTGGGC